GGTGGTCCTGATAGTTGCTTGCTAGGCAGTCACTCTACTACTTGAGCCACTCCTCCAGCCCTTACTGATAGTTATTTTTGGGATAGGGTCTTCTGTTTATGCCCAAGCCAGCCTGTAGTGCAATTTTCATATTTACGTTTCCTATATAGCTAGGATCACAGGTATGTGCCACCACACCCAGCTATTAGTTGAGATGGGGTCTCAATAACTTTTTGCCTGGGTTGGCCTTGAACCACAATCCACCTGATCTCTACCACCTGAGAAGTTGTGATTATATCCGTGGGTCACTTTATCTGGCTCCTTTATACAGTTTTTAATTTAAAATCTATTTTATTTGATACAAATATAGCTATTCACCAGGTGTAATGGTGCATGCAAGTAATCCCAGCATTAGAGAGGCTGAGGCAGGAGGACTGGAAATTTGAGGTCAGCCTAGGCTACACAGCAAGACCCTGTTTCAAACAAAACAAAACAAAACAAAGAAAACCAAATATAGCTACTCCTGCTCACTTCATTTTTAGTCTATGTGTGTCTTTACTGGTAAAGTGATTTTCTCAAAGACAGCATATCTTTGGGTCTAGCTTTTTTTTTTTTTCAGTTAGTGAATTTAATCCACATTCAAGGTCATTCCTGATAAGTGCCATTCCCCTGCCCTTTTTGCTTTAGTTTTTATTCCCCTCCCCACAAATACTGGGTTTGAACTCAGGGCCACTTGCTAGGCAGGCACCACTTGAGCCACTCCACCAATCCTTTTTTTTGTGTTGGCTATTTTTGAGATAGGGTCTCACAAACTATTTTCCCAGGCTGTCTTGGAACCTCAGTCCTCCTGATCTCTGCCTCCTGAGTAGCTAGGATTACAGGCGTGAGCCACTGGAGCCCAGCTAGCCTTAACTCTTACATTCAGGCTTACAATCCACTTTGAGTAAATCTTTGTATATGATGTGAGATATTATTCATTTTCTTCTAATCCTCAAGAACATCATGCTTTCAGAATGTTCTTTAATAGATTAGATAGGAAAAGAAGTTGGTAAAGATATCTTTTTTGTTGTTGCTGCTATTTTAGTGTATCTTTTCGAAAACCCCTGACCCATTGCAGACATGTTCAATCACATCTGTTCTATGATCTAAAATATACCTTACTTACATTGAGCTTATTCAGTCTGTTTTATAAGCAAAGAAATTTAAACATAAGGTAACTTAACAGAAATGGTTGTCAGTATCAGTTGAGATAACATTTATTGAAAGATTGTGAATAGTATCTTGATTACAAATAAAATCTTAGCCTCATCTTTTTAAGCTTAGAATTGGCTAAGACTACATACCATTTTTTGTTTGATTAATGACAGAGTAACTAATTAGAGTGGAAAAGGGATTAGCAAATCATTCAGGATGTCAAATGCAACATGCTATTTTGCCATAGATAATATAGTAAAACTCAGTGACAGATGTGCTTAGAAGTAGGAACTGAGAACACCCAGGTATGGAATTCTCCGTATAATATTTTTATAACCAGCATTATTTGGTTAGGTGGTTAGGTAGTTAGGTTGGATTTTCTTCCCCTGAATTGTCATATTGTTGAATTTGCCTTTGATTCATTTACATTCTAAGATTTGTTGTGGGTTTTCTTTTTGCTTTTCAGGATGTACAGAATCAAAAATTAAAGACAAGTGTATGGTACCGTGAGGTAAATGATTGTGTTTCCTTGTATGCATGCTGGATTCCCAATATGGATCTGCTGAAAACAATACTTATTCTAAGGAATAGATATCAGCCTTATGTTTATAGTTCCTTAGATCTGCAGCAGACTTAAATCATTAGAATCCATGCAAGATGGACATCCATGGTTCCTGGTTGGGGCTACTACCTTAGGGAATTGGATGGGAAGTCCTTTCCCCTAACAGAGCGTACCAAGGGGCTGATAAATTGGATCAGGAGTTCAAATCTCTTCTCAGTTCTTCTGTGAGGTTGTCCTTGCTGCACTTTCATGAGCCTCCCTTTGGCAACTCCTCACAGGTTTGGAATGATGAGTTTTTATCCTGGAACTCAAGCATGTTTGATGAAATTAGAGAGATTTCCCTACCTCTCAGCACCATCTGGGCTCCTGATATCATCATTAATGAGTTGTAAGTGTGCTGGGCATATTTCTGTGTGACTTTGTGGTGGTTGTTGTTTTGGTTTGGTTTTGGTGTTTGAGATAAGGTTGGCCTCAAATTCATGGTCTTCCTACCTCAGCCTCCCGAGTGCAGGGATTACAGATGTGCCTCACCATGCCCAGCTATCTGTGAGGTTTAGACTGCTTAGATTACTCAGGCCAGTTGCTGCTTACTTCTAGTCCTTGTTACTTTTTTTGAAAGGGAGTCTATTCTGGGGAATAGTCAAGTTAGAATTACCATAAGTTGACATCATTTAAGATACAGATTTGATTATCAGTGCTTTGAGGTTATTGTTTATGTCCATGAGGTAGCAGTACCAAATAAACTAACCAATGAGACTGTCACTGCTGAGCCCATCTTTGCCAGGGTGAATCATCTCATAGGAAATACAGTTCTGTCTTTTCGGTAGTGGCTAGCTCTGAGACTCATGGTCACTACCATCTCATAGTTAGTTCTGTGTGTGTTTGCAATGACTGAAGCTCTCTGTAACAACAGCTTCTGTTGTGTTTCAGTGTGGACACTGAAAGATCCCCCGACCTTCCCTATGTTTATGTGAACTCATCTGGGACCATTAAGAACTCTAAGCCCATCCAGGTGGTCTCTGCATGCAGTTTACAGACATATGCTTTTCCCTTTGATATCCAGAATTGCAGTCTGACCTTCAGCAGCATTCTGCACACAGGTAAAGCATGAGAGACACACTCTGCTTGTTGGGAAACACACCTGTGCTGGGTTGACATATATTTATGCATAATTGGCTATTTAAAAATCCAAATCTCTTCTTGCAGTTATTTGGCTCCTGCTACAATTCAGACCAGGTACAAACTTTTAGCCCACTGTTGCTATTAATTTGCGATTACAATATTAGGACTTCACTGACATTGAGAGTGTTGGAGAAGGTCACAGTACAAGCACCATCATTCTGTGGAGAGTGGACCCCAAGCTCTAAATTCATAGTTTTATTTTTAATGGTTGGAAAGATTTCATTCTTTGCCTCTACTTCCTAAAAAAACAGCAAGAAAAAGCAGTAAGGCTGCATGTGCAGGGGGCAGAAAACTGGGGGTTAGAAAAGTGGGATGTTATTGCTACCTCTTTCTCACCAGGAAAGTAAATTATGTCTGTTGTTTCCAGTGGAAGATATAGACCTGGACCTCCTGAGCCACAGAGAAGACATTACTCATGACAAGAAGGTGTTTTTGAATGACAGTGAGTGGGAACTCCTTTCCGTCTCCTCACATACAACATCCTGCAGAGCAGCGTTGGAGATTTTGCACAGATTCAGTTTAATGTAGGTTTTTCTCCTTCCTGCCCCATTGCCCACTTCTCTGCAGTTCTCAGCCTTCTCTGTTGGGTGGAAGAATCTCTGCTGTGTTACATTTCTCATTCATTGTCACCCAAGAACAGTTGGGTCAGATAGCTCTGCACATCTACCTGTATTCTGGCATTTTAGAGAGCAGAGGTCCAGTAAGAGATCCTGGGCTCCTGGTATAGATACTCCACAAATGAACTTAGAAAGAAGGGTATTCAGATATGAGAGACCTGACCACTCTCTGCACCAGGAATCCTTAAACTTTTTCAACACATACCAACATTACCATTTCTAATTGCTGCAGAGGAAAAACAAAAACACCAAACACAATGGCAAAACACCACCTGTACAATGATACATTAGAAAAATAGTCTTATCAACATCATTGTCCAGCTTTTAACTGAGAAAGTTATCAATTAGTTGCAGGTGCATAAGATGATCATATTATTAATTTGAATAACTGAAGGGATTAGCCAACAATCACCAGCAGAACCCACAGACACTACCAGTAGCTTCTGGGTCAGAGGGAATAAGGACATGATGGGAATCCATGGTCCTCTGATGGCCCCCTGGGACTGCTCTTGGCTGCATTGTTCCTAGGGAAATTTGTTGGGAGGCGGGGTGTTTAGGCTGGATGCAAGAGAGCAAAACTGCAGAGGCAACCATTCACCCTTCTCTGGTTTTCCTGGCAAACCATCTTAACACATGACCAGTAGACTCAAGCATTGGTATTCAGCAGTGTACTCTGATTTCCTACATTAAAGTCAGCTAGTGGTGGAGGTAGTCTGTGGTTTTTGGGAGGGAAGGGGGGAGGGTTCCTTCATGCCAAGTAATGGATCCAGTTGAAAATAGAGGCTGCAATCAGGCTAGGAATTCTCCTAGAAGCAGACCTTTGGAGTAAGAAGGCACCTTTAGACTAGACTAAGGTGCTATAGCTACAAGGATATCCAAGGGGTAGTGATGAAGTAGGCTATTATTGAGGGCACAGCTGTCCTCATCAGTTAAAAGGTATTATGTGGCTTTCCTGCAAAACACTTGTTAAACTGGGGACTCTAAGACACAGCTGGGGTTCGAAGCTGACCGATGTATATTACTGACCAGTAGCTAATCACTAGAATATACCTTTCTAGCAGTGGAGTGGGCTTTGGGTTATTGCCTAGAATTCTGCTTGGTTTTTAGCAAAGTCTGCATGGTAGGTCCCTTGTCCACTTTTGGTTTTCTTCTTTTTCTGGTGCTGGGGGTAAAACCAAAGACCTCGTGCATGCTAGGCAAACATCCTACCATGGAGCCACATTCCCAGCCCTTGTCCACTTTTTTTTTTTTTTTTTAGAGCGAGAAAGAGAACAGGGAAAAAACAAGAAAGTTGTTTTTTTACTTTCAACGAGTTTCTTGGCTAAGAGTAAACACCTCATTAATTTTAAAGATATCAGCCTGCAAACATTATTAATGCAGCCCAAATAATGGAGAGAATTAAAGGGAAATGTGAAGGAGCAGCACGTACAAGGTGGAACATAGTCACCTACCAAGTACTCTGAGGACACTGCACACACCATTACCCACGCTGCACGGAGGAAACAAACAGAGACAGGAGACAGGGCAGGTAAACAGGAGTGTGAGTGCATGCATATACATGTGCGTGCTCCCTCTCTCCTTTGGCTCTCTCTCATCCCTCCCCGCCCCCCATGGAGTCACCATTATTGGTAGTTACATGTCATCCTTTGCCCTAAATATTAATTTTTTTCTCAACAGCAACTGAAGGTTTTAATGTGCTACCTCCATTTGGAATATGATGAACAGAGATGGTAAAAAGATTACTTAACAGAGGAAAGGTTTCCCTGGATCTAGGAATTGTGGTCTAGTTCCATTGCTCTCTTCACTGTCATGTCCCCTCCCTTTTACAGTGCTTACATGGAGGCATGTTGGAGGTAGGCATCCACTCAATTTCATGCTCTTGGATCTTTTCTTGGATGCCTTTGCCATGGGGGCCAAGGTGGGTTCCCTAGAAAGACTGGCTTCCACTTTAGTGCTCTGGAATGGAGTAGCCCAAGAATTCTGAGTAGAGTCACGGATCATATTAGCAGACTCAGGAGTGATTCTGCAGCTTTGGAAAGACTTAAAGTAGGTTCCATAACTATCACTGTTCAGCTCTCAACTCCTCAGCCTCCATGCTTGAAGCTGCCGTGTGTACCATGCCTGGGTTAGTTGTTCTCCAACTACATCAGACATCTCCCTCTGAATTTATTATCAAAAGCATCCTGGCATCCTTCAGTTGGCCAGTGATGTGAATTTCAGAGCCCAGTTCCATGCCAACATTGGACCCACCAAGATCCTGACTGCAAAGGGCCATCTCCCTCCTAATCTAATCACCTGCTGTGTTCCCAGGTCAGGCTGCCCTGCAGGAGGCTGGGGACATGTGGGACAGGCAGGAGAGGCAATGATCTACTCTAAATACACCATCATCTTATGCCTAACATACACTGCTGCTGTTTATACTAAATCAAATGCTCCGGGGGCCCTGTTAGTTTCAGTTGATGTGCAATCATAGCTGCTGGAGCTGGGACATGTATTGTTTATCAGAGGGCAGCGCTGATGCTTTGGAGTCAGGCTACATTCCACAGGGGCCCAGTTAAGACTATTTCCCCTGTAAGGATGTTTCTGTGTAGCTTGGGACCCAATCCAGCAGCCATAGGAGGGAAGTTTTCCTCCAATTCATTATTGGAGGTGCTGGTTCCCAGAAACAGCAGGGTGAACATTCAATTTCTGTATGGCAGTGATTTTTTTTTTTTTAAAGAATGAGAATAGATGTGGGAGATGGTAGGAATAAAATTTAGAAATTCATTTTGGATGGAAAAGGGAACTAAACCAGCCCAATCACAAAATTTTCATACTGAGTGTTCATTCAGGCAGGAATTGGGGTGCCCATAGAGAACGCCTAGAAAAATGATAAGGGGAATTTGGGAAAGAAAAAAATCCCCTTTTTCTGTCATAATTTTCCTTTCTAGATTAAAGTAATTTTGTTGTGATTCCCACTGAATTCAGTTTATAAACTTGACAGAAGATCCTTCCTTCTAAGCAGAGAGAGAAAGAGAAAAAGAGAATTTAAAGTCTTAAAGCTTTAGAAATCCTCCCAGAATCCCTCAAGTAGTCAGGAATTCATGGACTTTCTGCTATCCAGGCCAATCCACAGTCTAGATCCAAGAAGCTTTCATTCCAATACAAGGACTAACTAAAATGGCAGCAACCATCCCATTCTTTCTGAATTGGGAATGTTGGGAGGGGCTTAGGAGATGAGGAAAATGGGTTTCAGTATGAAGCGTGAGACTGGGTGTCAAAATTCCAACTATGTCATAAAGATGGTCATGCAAAATTGAATACTGGTGGGGTCTACCATCAAGAAGGCAATTAGAGGCTAACCTTGGGGCCTGTTTCATCTCTAAGGAGCTCTCCACACACACATTCTGAATTAGATTGATCTCTTTCATTAACATCAATAGGCTCCAAATACCTTTGTGTACTTATTATTACCTGGCTTTAATGGATAATGAAATTGTGGCATAATATTGCTAACACCTGAAGGGTGTCTAATGGCGAACACGGACTGAAACTAAAGTGCTTTTTCTTCCCTTTCTGTGGAATTTAAAGGCACCAGCTCCTTTAGTCCATTAGAAGTGATGGGCTCTAGGTAGGGGCAGGTTTACAGATAGCAGTGTCTCACTAAGTTGGTGACACATCTTCCCCCCAGCAGAAGCAGGGGATACTGGTTGTGGTATGACTACGAGAGGTGGCCCTCAGAAAGTCTGACCTCAGTGGGCTATCCCCCATGTGAAATAGCTTCACACTCCTACTCCATTGGAACTAAAGGCAGCACTGTTAACAGACTCCAGTGCAATTCCACAAATGCCTTTTCAGCTCGTATCATGGTAAACACTTAAGACAGAGATGAATGAAAAAGTTCTTGATATCTAACCATTGTGGTTATATAACAAAATGCACAAAATTAGGCACTTGCTCTATGTCCTTAAGAGTGTATAGATATAATCCTCACATTCCTATGAGGTGGGTGCTCATGGCATCTGCATTTTTATAAACTGAATTGAGGTGCAGAAAGAAGTGACTAGTGGAGCCCAGACTTGAACTTAGGACAGCCGACTCCAAAACCAGCTGCCTAATTTTGCTCCTTTCTGGGGCAAAATTTCTCTCCATCCACAGACTTGTGAACACCCAACCACCAGAGTCTGGTTTCTGAAGTCATAAGAAAAGGCAAGGCAGGGATCTGTTCTATAAATGAAACTAATTTTCTAGTATTTATCATAGTGTCTAATAACCTGTTTACACTCTATTAGTTTGTTGAACAAAGGAATAAAGGGCTCAAGATCAAATGAGATAATGAAAACAAAAATTTCTGAAAACTGTGATAAAATTGGAGTTTCTTTAGACTGCATTGGGCCTGTAGAGAAATTAATCTAGTCCAGCGGTAGCATGGCCCCTCAACCTAAAGATAATGGTTTGTTCTGGAAGAAAACACAAACTGTAGGTCCTACTTGGTTTATCTTAGGAATAAGAACGTGCTTACTAAAAGTAAGAGGATGGATGAGGTGATCTTGTAGGACCTATCTAGCTTTCTAATTTTTTAAGCCAGATGAAGATGGAGAGTTTCTTTGTTTTATTTCATAGCAGAAGGTAATTGTCCACACACGTACCTGTGTTTTTTCCTTTTGCTTTTAGCTACTGTTGTAATAGTGAGGAATAAATAGCCTCTTGATGGATAAATTACATCTTTTGTATGGCTCAATGCAAAATAAAAATGGGAGGTCCTTTTTCAAAAATTATTAAGAATTTCAGAATAGTACCAGAGAAGCTTTAAACCAAGTGCAGGGCCCTTGCAAGTACAGGGCCACATTTGGCTGCACAGGTCACATGCCCAGGAAGCCATCTGCCTCCCAGTCTCTTAACTCTTCTCATCCATCTCCCTCCATCTTGGAGACCTATGACTGATAAAACTGTACTTTCTTAGAAATTGGGAACTTGGAAGAGCCACACTACCCATCTTTGGTTTTGATGGTAGAGAGGCATCATATCTGCTTGTACTTATTATATAGGAATTTTATTTAAAGAGCACAAAGCTCTTCTCAGTTGTACCCAAGATGTTTGTTGAGGCAAAAGTAAGCTGCTTTTTAAATGCGAGGGTTGGGGGATCAAGACATGGGAAGGTTGAGTACCTCACACCAGATCACTTATACTTGCACATATAGGCTTTTAAAATAAGCACTCTGGAACTTTGTTCCCGTGGCTGTAAGTCTGGGTTCTTTCCACTTGACTAACATGCCTACTTGTACTCTACTTTACAATGGCATTCTTAGACTTTCTTCCCTTTCATGTATTCTCTGTCATGAAGTCTTTAGGGGGTGCTGCCATGTCTACCCTCCAGAGAAGCAGGTTGGGTTGCCCCATCTCCCCATTTTACAAAGCCAGATCACCAGTAGGCCAGACAAGGTCACAACATAAAACTCCCATGGAGTCTGACCACTTAACCTCCTTTCTACTGTCCCTTCCCACAGCCATGTCAGTCAAAGTGCAATGATGGAGCTGGAGAGGTGCAAGTTGATGACAGTTAATTTTATTGTTTTTCTTGTTGACTGCACTTTGGTGAAATGTGTTTTAAGCAAATTATTGCAAAGCAGCGAGTGTTGCTCTGGTGTAGATATTTGCAGCCAATTATGTTTAATGTGAAAGACAACAGCCAGACTACAATCCGCCAAACAGCTCTGGCCTGCCAAGCTCCACTGAGTCGAGATGTGCTCCAGATCCCATGGCTGGAGAGCCTTTATTCTCACCAGCAAGGTGGTGTCTGGACTCCCCCAGCCAAGCTGTTCCTCCACCACCTTCTGCTCCATCACTGGCCCCTGCATATCATCTGTGCCTTGGCTCATTTCTTTGTGAGTGTCTTCCAGAGCAGGAGAAGATGAGGGAAAAGAGGCTGTGTACCACACAAAGGTCCAGGCCGATCAAGAGTTACAGAAGAGTACCAGGGAGTCAAAAGATGTGAAGTACACCCCAGCTCTACCTCTCACTCAACTTACTGAAGAGGGCTAGGCTCTTTTTTCTTCTTCTTCTTTTTTTTTTTCTTTCTGAAAACTCTATAAAGTAGAGGATAGCTATTACCTAACAACAACTTGGCAGTGAGGATTAATAAATCATATTATACGCATAAAAACCTCCAGCATACTAACATATAGAAGCCATCCATTGTTTGGCAAATCAAAAAATGGGAGCTATGGAGCATTATTTTTGTACAAATCCAATAGCAAAGGGCCCAGGATGTTCATTTGTTTGATAGGCCTTTATTTAATACCCTCGGTAGGGTCTCATTTTGGGGCCCTTGGTTGAATATTATCATCTCAGAGATGGGATGAGATGAGAATTCACCATCTTGTGGAAGCAGCAGCCCTTCCATTTCCTGGTTTCTTTTCAGGAAGGATAAGAATTGAGTATGCCCTTCCCTTCCCTTCCCTTCCTTTTTTCCCTTCCCTTCTCTCTCTTTTCTTTTGAGACAGGGTCTCACCCTATAGTGCAAGCGGGCCTGGAACTCCCTATGTAACCCAGCTAATCTCAAACTCATGACCTTCCTGTCTCTCTGCACAGCTTTCTTTTTCCTCAGGTCTGGGTAATTCTCCTAGCCCTTGTTCCCTTCAGGCCTAATGGTGGTATCAGCTCTCAGTTCTCAGAAAGCCCTCCTTCTTGTGGGTTCTTTATGCCCTTGCCCCACCTTGTAAATAGTCCCTTTATCGACTCTACCTGAAATTTCCCCCTGTTGATTGTACTATTCATTCCAGCCCAGACTCTGCAGATCCCCAGGTGCTAAGGGGCTGGGGATTCCAAGTGAGTAGATAGACTGAACTGAAAATAATACGTTGTATTGCACAAGTTCTTTACGAGAAGGAAGATTTTAGTTTTAAGATAGTTTCTCATCAACTATGTGAATTTGGACAAGTAATTCAACCTCATTTGAACCTCTATTTCCTTGTTTGTAAAATGGAGACAGTAATACCCAGACCTCAAAGTTGTGAGATTGAATATGATAAACATATGAAACATTTAGTCTAGTTTCTAGCACACAGTAAGTGGTAAACAAATGCTAACTGCTTCTTCTTAAAATAGCTGTCAATAATATTAATATTAGCTCCATGTTAAGGCTTAACGGATTTTCTCTCTTTCTGAACCACAAAATAGGCTCAAACATAGTTCTAAGATAAACTACAAAGACTTTTCACATCATACAAAAATTTTGGGACTTAAGGGATTGTTCTTGGCTCTGAATTTGGCCAAACATTAATCCATCAGCTATATTCAACAGATTCCTTGCCCCTGGCCAGGTGGTGATTCGCAGGTGCCCCCTAGCCTACGTCGTGAGCCTGCTGATTCCCAGCATTTTCCTAATGCTTGTGGACCTGGGGAGCTTCTACCTGCCTCCCAACTGCTGTGCAAGGATTGTGTTCAAGACCAATGTGTTGGTGGGCTACACTGTCTTCAGGGTCAACATGTCTGACGAGGTGCCAAGGAGCACAGGGAGCATCTCTTTGATTGGTAAGAAACTCCAGGCTTACCTGACACTCCTGTCAGGTATGTCAAGTGTCATATTTCAGATTGGAACTGGGAGACACACCAGAGACTATAGCTAACTACTCCTTCTCTGCTCTGGTGTCTTCTCTAGGGGTTTTCTTCACAGTCTGTATGGCCCTCTTGCTTCTCAGCTTGTCTAAGTCCATTGTGCTGGTCAAATTCCTCCATGATGAGCGATGTAGTGGGAAGGAACAGCCCCTCTTGTGCCTTCGAGGAGACATTGATGGTGACGGGTCTAGAATGGACTCCAGGGCCCAGTGTGCTGGGATAACAGGTTTGTGAGAAGCCTTAAGATTCCTGTTCTGTCTCCTTTATCGCCTCCAGTGCCAGTGTTCATCGGGGAAAACACCAGGCCATGGGCCGGACTGTGTGAAGAATCTGAAACACCTGCCTCTTAGTCCCTGTGTTGCATTTTATATTAGGTGCTGGCACTGAAAGTCACCTCCTGCTCGCTGGAGGTCATTTTAGCTTGAAGGTTGTGTCCTCAGTCACCCTTAGCTTGTTTAATTTTCCAGTTTCAACCAACTACTTAAAGTGACTGAGCCATTGACTCCAGAATAGTAGAGTTTTGGCATGCAAGCTCTCTCTCTCTCAAAATCTCTCCAATTGCTTCATGTGAACAAATATATGAATCATCCCAGCCCCTGAAGCTCCAAGTGAGTCAACCTGGATTGGCCTCTAGCTCAGAAATTCTCGTAGTTGGATCTAGTTGATATACACCTGTTTACACAATAAAGCTCTGCCATGTTCTCTGGACTTCCTTCAGTACAGCTGTGCCTCCCCATATCAGGTGGGGAAAGAGTACCCAACCCACTGTCTAGTTTTTTCCCAACCTTCCTTGAAGGAAAGGAAAGTTTCAAGGGAAAGTTCAGCCCCTGGCTCATCCAGAGTGTTTTCTTCTATTATGCAGAGTTCCCAATCTGTCAAGAGTACCAGTCCCAGTCAGGAACCCTGAAGGAAGTCTGGTTCCAGCTTCAAACCTTCAACAACCACCTCCGAACTCAGGACCAGATGGACCAACAGGAAGTCGAGTGGCTAGAGCTCCTGTATCGCTTTGATCAACTGCTCTTCCGAAGCTACCTTGCCATCCTGGGGCTCTACACCATCACTCTGTGCTCTCTCTGGGCGCTGTGGAGTGGTTTATGAAAACTGAAATTGCTGTCTCAATCAATGTGCTGTCCTAGCACCTAGGGAAAGCTGAATTGTTTTTGAAGGGAGTTTGAAAGGGAAGGAATAGTGGGTTTAAAAGCTTCCAACTCCCCTTTTCACTGAGTCCACCTTATGGAACAATGACTCAGGAATTATATCTTCATGATGAATATATATAAACAGTAACAAGAAAGCCTGTTCTCCCCAGTAACAACCATCAGAATCTCAGAAAATTTATAGACAAACACACACACATGTTTAAGCAGGTTTTTGTTTTTTTAAGTATAAGATCACTCCATTTCAAAATTCTGTCTTGGTCATTTATTCTGTCATTCACTCAAAAAAATTTTTTAAAAACCCTCACTGAGTGTTGATTAAGTCCTAGACACTGGTAGGCACACCAGAGAATATAAAATAAGTCAGTCATAGATCGTTCTTTACTTGATTCGATTCCCATGGTCAACTCTGAACCAATCAGAATGCAGAACTCCGCCATGTCTATTTCTTTGAAGCTCTTGCTCCCACTCTCCCAGCTGCCACTGCCTCCATCTTCCTTCTATGCCATAGAGAATCTGGAGCCATCTTCCTCCTGTGCTGAGGCTTCCAGCTCCTGTCTAGCACAGTATTTAGTGAACACACACCGTGTGTAAGGACCTGTGCTCCTTGGAGTCAAGGAATTTGGGATCCACAGTCCTTCTATTAGTCAAATAGGACTGCCATAATAAAATAATACAGACTGTGTGGCAGCCTGAACAGAGTTTATTTTCCCATCATTCTGGAGGCCATGTGTCTAAGGTTAAGTTGCCTGTAGGGTTGATTTCTTCTGAGACCTCTCTCCTTGGCTTCTAGACTGCTGCCTTTTCCCAGTGTCTTCACATGTGCCCCCTGCCCAGGGTGGGGATGCTTATATCCGAATTTCTTCCTCTTATAAGGATACCAGTCATATTGGTAGGGCCCATCCTAATGTCTCCATTTAACCTGAATTACTCTTTTTAAGGCCCTATCTTCAAATACAGTTATATTCTCAGGTACTAGGGATTAGGATTTAGACATGATGAATTTTGGAGGGACACAAATAAATCATAACACACATGTAATTGTGGACACTTGGCAAGTCCAAAATCTTCAGGGTAGGTTGGAGATCCAAGGGAGACCTGTAGTTCTAGTCCAGAGGTTGTCTGCTGGCAAGATTCCCTTTTCTGGGAAGATCAGTCTTTTTAAAAGCTAAAACCTTCAACCAATTAGATGAGGCCCACCCACATATGGAGGGAAACCTGTGCTACTCAAAAATCTACTGGTTTAAATATTGAGTTTATCTAAAAATAACCTTCAGAAAAAATCTAGGATACCATTTGACTGGGTACTGTGGCCTAACCAAGATGACACATAAAGTTAACTGTCTCAGTCTCACTGTCTCCTTAGCTTCTCATCTATGCCATAGTCACTCACCCAGAAAGAGAAGAGCCTTGTCACCTGAAACCCTGGTAACTAGTCAACTTCTGGCTAAATCTCTCCAGTAAGCCAAAGCTTAGTCACTATCCTATCTTGTGATAATTTCTGTGGACTCAAACCTGAATTGTAAGATTAGAATTTAAGCTTTCCAAAAAATATCCTTGCCTTTGAATTTGACTTTCTTGGCTTCTTGTTGTTTCCTGTCGCAGAGTATTCAGTCCAGTCAAGACAACCTGTTTGCTGTCTTCCTGAGGAAGGGGTTTTCCATCTACTTCTGTTTGACATAGTCCTTTTTTGCTCCAACAGTCTGTATGTCAACTCTGCCTCAGAGCCCTGCTAATCACAATCTCATCCCCACCACATTCACCCGTTCATCCATGACTCCTTCTCCTCATCTCTTTCCTTAGTATTATGTTACCTTATATCCTTTTCCCTTTGAATATTTTGTGGCTTCTTTTATACATGTGTGCATGCATGCTCGCACGTGTCTATGTTTTTTTTGTGTGTATCTGAGAGAGACAGAGAAAGAGATAGAGGTTTGTCAAATAGATCACACATTGCACATATACCCTGTTTTTTCTTTCTGTCCCCCATCCATGCCCAGGTCCACAGAAAGTTCTGCATATGGCGATTCTGCAATAACAATTACAGAGCATCTCATTTGTGCTCACTGCTGATGGTGGACATACATCTGGTATATTTTCCCATGTCTGCAGGACAAAATCTACCTATGGTCAGACTCCCAGTCCCTGGACATCTCTCTACACCTCAAGAAGGGTAGTCTTCAGGAGGCTGGTGGGCAGAAGGACACAGTGGGCTGCAGGATTGTCCTCAGTCCTAAAGCTCCCAGTAGAGGACACAAAAGTCTAAAGCTGTTTGCCAGGAACTTTCTCTAGAACTAAAACTGCCTTTAAAAAAAATCTGCCCCCCTCCATCCCCCTGAAGAAAAAGAATTTAAATTCAAACAGCCTTTACCTGCATCCTCCCTCTCTCATTACCTCCCAGTTAGTGCTCAACGCCAATTGTCCATGAAATTCCACTGCTGCTGTTAATGAAATGAGGAACATAAGAAGTTTGTGAACAGGAAGTGTCCATGCAAACCTCCACCTGTTTCCTTCTCTACTTCCTACTTTCTACCACTTGCTCCTCTGGCTCAACATACTCAGTTAGTCTCGTTCTGTTTTGTTTTGTTTAATTTTGAGATTGGACCTCTCTATGTTGCTGAGGCTGGCCTGGAACTCACTATGTAGTTCAGGCTGACTTTGAACTTGAGATCCTCCTGTCTCAGCCTCCTGAGTGCTGGGATGTGCCATTACCCCCAGCTTAGTTAGTCTCTATATTGGTGCCAGCTTTTTCCACTTCCTCCCTCAGATAACAGAGGAATGCATTGCTGTGGGGTCTCCCTCCTTCCTACCTGCATGCTGGAGAAAACACCAGATTCAGAGTTGGAGACCTCATTCTGGTTTTGGTTCCTGTACTATCTACCCAGAGGGCCTTGAACTTAAGTTCTCAGTCTTCACTTTACCTTATTTGAAATTGGAGCTTTTGGTACTTACTCTAACCATATTGCAGAATTTTGAGGTCTAAATGAAGCAATGTATTTAACATTTTGAGAAGTAAATAATAAGTCACAAAATAAACCTAAGATCTGCCTATTATCAACAGATGGATTCCAGTGTTGAGTCTCCACACTAAAACTGTGGAATCTGATTTCCACATAATTCTGTCAGAAACCCCTTGTTATGCACTCTGGTTCTCCTCAGCAGCGTCTTTAGTACAGGATCCAAAGGCCAAGGTCTGAATCCATCAAGTACCCCTGACAGAGAAACTTGAGTGGTGGAGTATGGCAAAGGGACTTTGCTCCACTCCTAGATACTATCACTCAGGTTCTAAATGTCAGCCTCCAAGAAGCAGTCATTCAACAATGAGTCTCTTCTCTAACTGGACTACTGAGTGGTCTTGATCTCAGCTGGCAGCCAGGAACTCACTGTAAGCCCCAGGGTCAGTCTGCATCACAAAGCAATGACATTATATAACATAAGACACTACCGACCTCCTCATGGAATAGTGCCCCTTGCCATGGAAGGAACAGGGGTTACCAGCAGCCGTTTTACAGAGGAGCTTTAGCTCAGCCTCTCCAAATGTTTATTCATTTCATGATTCCTGTTTCAAAGAGAAAAGAAACTGAGGAACAGAGTAAAAATGGGATTCTCCCAGCTGTGAGTGCCCCTACCATCTGCTGTTTCCCAGAATCTAAGGTAGTTTAGCATTCACCAAGAAATGAAAGCTCCAGTTCTGGGGACCTCGCTGATGTCTAAAATACAGAGATGGTTAAGCACAGTCCCTGGCTAACCAGGTAGCCTTTAATTCATCACAATGTCTCAAGACACACTGCTATGATAACTCATGGAGCCTTGGCGACCTTTTGCATTGCAAATAACCAGGAGAATGAGCTGCGGTGGTGGTAAAGGAAGCTGAGTTTCTCACCACTTTTTTTGAGACATGATCTAGTTCTATAGCCCAGGCTGGCCTAGAACTCACGACCCTCCTCCCTCAGCCTCCTGAGTGCTGGAATTACCCATATGTGCTACCACACCTGACTCAACTCTTAAATCTCTGTACATAACAAGTCTCCTGTGGCCTGACATTGAGCCAGGATGGGTCAGAACCAGGAAATAAAGAAAGAACAGCTATGAGGGGGCCTTGGTTGTAAGGCAAAGAGTTCCTCCACTAGTCTCTGGGTGGTGAGTGGTTAGCCCCTGGGGCAGAGATTCCAGTTCCTATATTCCATCTGGGAAGGATGGGCCTCCCCACTGGAACCCCAACCTGACGCCTCAGGCCCTACCTCATCATCTCCTGGTCAGCTGGGCTACCCAGTCTGATTCCCCAGCTCAGACTCCTCCTCAATGGCTGGCCACTCAGTCCTGAGAGTTATTTACCTGCCGAGACAGCGAAAGCTTCACAATTAGCTGAGCCCCAGCAGGAGACTATTATGAGCAGCCACGCCCCCCACCACTCTCTGGTGTCCGTAATTGAAATGACCCACACCAGTGATTAGATGAGGGGGCTGAAGAAGCCCAGCACACCACCCGCCCTCTTCCCCCACTCCTGTCGGGGAGGTGATGTAGTTAAGTTTGTGCTTCATTTGGCAAAGGCCATAAAGCAGGAATTGCAGCTAGGCTTTCTGCGGGGGCTGGAAGGCACTGCTGGGTGGTGTGCTGGCTCCTTGTCAAGTGGCAGGCTCCAGATTTGAGAGGGAGGGAGCCCCTTACTCCCTTTACTTTGACTTCTCTACCTCTCCTCCAGTCCACACAGAACTGGGGCCCAGCCTAGCAGGTCTAGGCTCTTCTGGGTGTCAGTGGGGATGAGGCTACAAGTGGGCAGTTAGCCCTTGATCACCTGCTCCTGGTTGCCTGCTTGCACTCTTTGGAGAGCTCCAGGCTGAGGGCAAGGAAATCCAAGTACTATTGATAGTTCTTTTCTTCCCACCTCCCTGCCCAGTCTTGGCCTCTCAGCTCCCTGCACAGAACAAGTTTCCTTCTCTT